TCAATAAATTCAGAAAATTAATTATAAATGTAATTTCAAGAGTCATTTTTTGCAAATTAATAAAGGTATAAAAGACTTTTTATCTTATTTCTTAATTTGTGTGAAAAATGTCAAAACGACACTCTTTGTGAAACGGATGGGTATTTCCAAAATCTCTCAATTCTCACGTACAAAATCTATAAACATAAATACAAATGTTGGCAAAAAAAAAACATAATTACAAATTTTGAGTGGTGTGTACTAGAACTATATCACACACATTCATGTAAGTCTCTTTTTCATAGGGTTAGAAGGTTTGCTCTTCCCAACAAATTTCTAACACTGACACATGTGGGGACCAGTCAAACTCTTTTTTTCACTTCCATTACATTTACATTACATCATCGTAATCTAATCCAACAGTCAACTTTTCGTCACGTCATCTTCATCCACACGTGTACGGCTCCTAATCCTCTTAAGCTCTCCAACGATCTCCTTAGCATCCGGACGATCATCCTTATCCACCGCAACGCATCGAAACGCCAGCTCAGCAACCGCCGCAACACCACCGTCGTCATCATCAGCCGCAAGCAACGGATCAACCACCTGATCAATTAGACCCATTTGGAGCTTGGAAACGAATAAATCAGCCAAAGCCATATCTCTCTTCTCACGCCGTTGGTCAACCGCTTTCATCCCCGTCATCAGCTCCATCAAAACGACGCCGTAACTGTACACGTCACTCTTCTCCGTTAACCGGAAAGACCGGTGATAATCCGGGTCCAAATAACCCGGCGTACCTTGTGGGCCCGTGCAAACGTAATCAGACGAAGAAGCAGAAGTCGCCGTCGTCTCCGAGAACACCAAGAGCCTAGAGAGACCAAAGTCTCCGACTTTGATCCTCATGTCTTTCTCAACGAAAATATTCGACGAGGTTATGTCTCTGTGAACAACCGGTGGAGCAATAGAGAAGTGTAAATACTCCATAGCTAAAGCCGTTTGCAAAGCGATATCTAGCCGGATACGCCACGTCATCGTCGATTTCCGGCCGTGGAGATGATCGGCGAGAGTGCCGTTGGTGACGTAATCGTGAACAAGAAGAAGCCCTCTCGGGTCAGAGCAATAGCCATGGAGCTTGACGAGGTTCGGGTGGTTGATTGAAGAGAGGATCAAGATCTCGTTGCAGAACGATTTCATTGAGAAGGCTTTGCAATGCTCGGTGGCTGCGGCGGTGGCGCCGTGATGATGGTGGAGGAACTTGACGGCGAGGAGTTGTCCGTCGCTGAGCTGGCCTAAGTAAACGGAGCCGAATCCTCCGTCGCCGATTTTGCGTTTTTGGTCGAATTTGTTGGTGGCGGATTCGAGCTCCTCGAAGGTGAAGACCGGAGGGAGAAGAGCGGCGGAGCGGTGACGGCGGAGGAAAAGAGCAGCCGGGTCTTCTTCGTTGACTGAAGAGAAGAAACTCCCTCTCCGTGATCGGAAAATCGCTACGGCGACGGAGACAGCGAGTAAAAGACATGTCAAAGCGAAGATGAGAGACAACACTGCGACGTTGTTGATTCGTTTCTGTCTTTGCGTTGCTGATTCGGATCTGGATTTGGGGAAACAGAGGAAATCTTGATCCGGGTGGGTCGAATTAAACCCGCAAACTCCGTTTTTGACCCGACAATCGCTGCATTTAGCAAAGTAAGGGTCTTGAGATTCGTCCCATTCGACTTCGAATCCGAATCTGGTGAAGAAATCTTGGAGAAAGCTTAAGAGATCTCCTTGGCAGCCTTGCTCCGATAACGACCCGTGGGTTGATTCGCAGCCGTGGAGGATCCGACCCGGGTTCTTCAAGAGTTTGCAATCCCAAGGACAACGACTACAGTTTGGGAGAATCAGAGGAGAGCAAGGACGGAGAAGAGAGAGACGAGAGCAAGAAGAGTCAGAGACTCTGAAAGGTGAACCGGTTAAGTCGATGAACCGGTTATGGGAGGAGGAGAACCGGAGAGAGGAGCAGTTGTTCTTGTTCTTGTTCCGGTTAGAGTCTAGTTGTGGCGGAGAGATGGGAGAGAGGAGGAGAGATGAGGAGAGTGAGTCGTAACGGAGGAGAGAGAAAGTGAGGTTTTTGATTGAGATGGTGGCGCGTGGAGAGGAGCATTGGATCTGGAAGTTTGGGTGGCCACATCCCGGAGAAGTGGAGAATGGGAACGGCGGAGAGGAATTAAACGGAGGGCAATGAAAGGTAGAGGAAGGAGAAGAGCAAGAAGCAGAGGTTTTAACAATGGTGAAAACAAAGATGAGTAGTGAAAAGCACCGCCACGAAGAAGACGGTGGTTGAGACATGTAAAAGGAGAAAGTGGAAGAGATCTGAATCTGGTGACTGGAGTTTTCGAAGTGGACAGTGTTGTGAGGAAGAGGAAGAAGAAGAAGAGGCACGTGAAGGTTTAGGAACTCGGAAATTGAAGAGTTTCTCTCTAACTTTTTAGTTTCGTTTTCTATTTTTCGAGATAGATAAAAGAAAAAGAAAACTCTTTTGTTTATGTTAAATTTTGTTTCGTTTCTTTCTATGCAGTGAAAGTCGAATTCAAAATATTTTGCAAATTCCTTACATTTTTTTTTGTCTCAAATTAAGCCAAATGAAGATTTTATTCTGATAGTTATGTGTAAAGAACAAATGGGACAATGAGAGTACAGGAGCGAAAAGAAAAAGTCAAAATGGACAACAGACATTATATACATATGTAAAAGTAGTTCAGATTATAGTGGATGCTTTACTGTTCAATAATAAAAGTGGAAGCTTATATCGGTCTTTGAATTATTGCTGGAGAATATAATAAGGAACTCATACTTTCAACTGCTTTATGCAGAAATGGTGAACGAAGACTACCGACAATAACTAAAATTCTTAAGAGAAATTTCTTTTGGTGTAAGTGTAACCAACAATTCCAACTCTTATTTTATAATCTTGATGTTTGATAATCAATGTCGTTCTATGATTTTACACATAATAAAAAAAGTAGGGCTGAAATTATTATCCGGTATCCGGTATCCGATCCAGTATCCAATCCTATCCGATCCGTAAAAACTGAATATTCGTGTAGTTCGGATCCGGATCCGGATAGTGAAACTAAATATTCGTTTATTTCGGATACAGATCCGAATAATAGAAAATTTTGAAACCGAATATTCATTATTCATTTGTTAAATATTTATTTATTTTAATAATATTTAATTATTTTTAAAAATTAACTTTAGAATTGTTTTTGGTTTAACTCTTTTACATATGATTGAAATTCATATTGTGTGATAATTTTTTATTTTAGATTGTGAGATAAGAACATAAAAATGGATAACCTATGAATATGAAAATAAATTAACTTCTCTATTACTATTTTCTCTTTTGTTATGTAAATTTTTAAACTTTATACTATTTGAATGCTATTTGAATATTTTTTAATTTTTGTTATTTGTAAGTTGCTATGATAATATATTTTAATTATCTATGTTATTTTATTATAATTTTTAAAAATTAAAGATTTTTTTAAATCAACAAATCGGATATCCATAAATATTCGGTCTTCAGATATCCGGAGTTTTCGGATCCGGATCTGGATAATAAAACTGATTATCCGGATCCGGATCCGGATACCTTGAAAAGTCCAGATATCCGGCTCCGTTCTAGGATTATAAAAAAGTATCTAATATTTTATTTTTAACCAACTATAGAAAAGCTAAATTTGTCATTTCACTAGATACAATCTGCGAAATCCGCTGATATTCATCCGTTGGGTTGATTCGGCGGGTCCTGGTCTTAGTCGTAAAACATTAATGAAAAAAACTGTGGCTGATTTGTTCTCATCTTAGTTTTGTCCTTGAAACATAAAGATTGCATCACAAATCTAAGGTGCAATGATACAGCCGTTGATTTGGAGCCTTTCCAATTCATGATTCATAAACAAATAGGGCCAATTAATGCGATGCGAAATAAAGCTGACCTATTTTGGGGTCTCTCTCTTTATAATGTTTGTGTGATAATGTTTCTCCGTTCAATCATGAATCCTTTGAAACTTAACGTTAAAACACTAATGGGCCTGTGTATTTCGATTCCAAACTTATATAGATTTTGTTGGATCCATTCAAGAAGCAGATAGAACAGCAATATAGTGGCCCAAGCCAAGGGAAGCACGTCTAAGCAGTAAGCGCACTACCCAAGTTTAAAAGCTTATGAAATAGTATATCAGATCTTAGATTTATTTTATATCATTAAAAAGACTGACTATAATTGTGAGTCATTGTATTTTCTTTTATATCTTAATCTTAAGTTAAACCAGTGTGTGTTAAGTTAATCTAATCTATAGGAGATATTATGCGATTAATCAACAAAACCGATAATGTAAAAATATAGACATAAAAACATATTATTACCTCCCAAAGCCTAGTAAAAATATTTTATCTTTAAAAATATTAAATTACAGAAGTTATAAGATAGATAGAGTTTAAAGCATCAATTATGTCATTTTTATTTAAAAACTTTGTTTTTTATCTAAGTCATTAGAATGACTAATATTTTATTTTATCCATTTTAAGAAATAGATTTGTAAGAACGAAAAAATTTCCATAAGTTGTTCCATTTTATGGATTAGATTATTGTGTGGAACTGTATACAACAGAATCCACATTTAGATTTAAAAAATTATTGACAAATCTATTGTTTGCCCAAAGATTTATGAGCTATTAAATTGTTAAGATGCAATATGTAAACCCAAATATTAGTACAAAAATAAAAGAGAGTAAGTTGACTTACTATTGATAAAAAATATCACAAATTACAACAACTACTTAAAAAAAAAACAAAATGTACCTTAATGAATAACATCTGGACCTGGTCACGGAGACTATTCATAAACAGCCTGGAAATCCAATTGACAATTTCATCCTATATTAGAATAATAATTCAATGAAAGTGAAATAACTAGAAACTCTGTATAACAATCTACGCGCAAAACATTTAATTTTATGAAATGGTAATACTTGGACAACAAATAATAAGAAAAGTGCGTATAAATCGAGTAATCCTCGCCGTGTATTCAACGAAAAAAGAAAAAATGGAGTTATTCACAAGAAGTTCCGCCGTTAGATTACGGAGCTGCCACGAGAAATACCTCTTCGCCGTTGACGACGAAAAAGCCGTCCGTCAAAGCTCTGACGGGACGTCACGGCAATCGGTATGGACGGTGGAGATGGTGCCACGTAAGCCCGATTTCATCCGTCTCAAGAGCTGTTACGGCAAGTATTTAACGGCGAGCGAGTCGTCGTTTCTTCTTGGTATGACCGGCGAGAAAGTCATCCAAACGCCGCCGTTTCGTCAGGCGGAGCACGAGAGCGACTGGGAGCCGATCAGAGACGGCTTGCCGGTCAAACTCATGTCGTGGAACGGGAAATATTTGCGCGGGAACGGTGGATCGCCGTCGTGGAAAAACTCCGTCACGCACGACCGTGAGCCGTCCACGTCAACGACGAAGAAATGGATCTTGTGGACCGTGGAGGTCGTTGAGAATCCGGAGAAGGTGTCGTTCGCTGATCGTTTTTCGTCGCCGGCTTCGAGTTTTAAATCTTCTGTCTCCGATGAGTCAACTCACGATTCACCGGTTAAAAAGTTACAGACTTTCGGATCTTTCGAATCTATCGGGTCGGATCCTGGGTCAATGGCATCGGTTTCTTCTTCGAAGCTTATGTTTACTCCGTCATTGTCGGGGACATTGTCCCCAAAACCAATAGAGGTTTGTCTCAATTCACACATTTTCATGAAACATGTAATTAAGAATTTTTTTTTTTTCCGGGAAAATGGT